ACGCATTCTTGTTATTTAATTGGATATTTATTTATAAAGATGTTTATTATTTATCCGAGTTCCATTCCATTTCGAATCGTTTATTTGTAGCTTTAATTTTAATTTACAAATAAAATATTGATGTGTATTCCGTGGTTTTATTTGTGGATTTGATCCTTTATCCTTCAACCTTTTGTAATTATTACAATATTGAGCTGTGTTCGAATCTTACACATGGCATCATGGATTTTGCCAGATCCAAGCAGTCAATTGCATTCAAAAACTATACCACTAATATTATTAAAAAATACCAGACTATTATGTAGCAGACAGGAAATCTATACATTGTGTAATATCGGAAAATCTAGTTTAAAAATACATGATATTTGTTCCGAAGTATCATGTACTCTGTGGTGCTTTTTTTTTTTAAGGGGGGAAAATCATCGAATGACTGCTCCCGCCTGGGTGAGGCGGAAGGGAGTGCCAGACTCTTACTGACTAAAAACTACCCCGTTCCTTCTCCTGCACGTCGAGCCGGAGCCCCGGTTACCCGTTAGGTTCTCCGCGACACTGTGGTACTAGGACTTTATAACAGTAGGAGGTATATTCAAAAGTGGGTAGGAATCTGTACAGGTAATTAAATTGGAATGTATTCATATTTATTTAATTATTTGCAAACGGGTACATAATACATAGGTGTTAACAAAGTTTATAGTTTCTCCATGTATGTTTATAATATTAAAATAACCGCTTTTTACTACATGCATATATACACGATACACATACCGATATACGAAAATAACCTTTTTTACAATTTTGTCTGTCCGTGTACTGGCTAATCTCTATAACAGCTGGACGATTTTGCAAGACTTATTGGCAGCTAGCTGATGTACTAAGAAGTAACATAGAGATTTATTTTAGAAAATTGAAATAGACCTATATTCTAAAATTCATATTATTACAAACTACGCAGACGGAGTCCCGGGCAACAGTTTCTATAAAAACGTAGCAGATGGTACTAGGGATGTAGAAAATAAAGAGTAGAAAAAGACGGTAATTATTATAGTAGCCTTTAGGTCGTCACCTATGAAATTTCGGTTCTGTAGTACTGGCCATTTCAAATCAAAATAATGTTTGTTTGGCTAAGAATTCTAATTTCAAAATCATCATTTTTTTTCCAAAAATAGTCGTTTGTTACATTTTCATCGCAGTTTAATCGCTTGGTTGCCTGTAAAGTCGATATACGGGCGAAAGTTTCGTGACAACGACTTTGAGTGGTAAAATAATGTCTCTCTCGCTCTTAGGCGGGTTAACTGTGCTCGAGTGAAAGGGACGCGTGCCTTTCACTTTTTATGTCTGTCTCTCTCGCTCTTAGGCGGGCTAACCATGCCCGAGTGGAAGGGACGCGTGAGTTAAGGAACCCCAATATACACATATTAGCTTCGTAAGTAAGAATAAAGTAACTAAATAATGACTTTTTATCTAGGTCATACATTATTACGAAATTACTGAATTAGCAGATAATTAGTATATAAGAAATCAATATTGTATTAAATTTAGATTATTCTTGTTGTAACTCTGTTCAAATAAATATATATTTTTTAATTTCAACGTTGTCAGTCACTTAAATGGCGCAGCCGGTAGGAAGTGACTGACAACGTTGAAATTAAAACGTGCCTCTCACTCGCTCTCATTGTGAGCGCATAACGTGAGCGGAGCGTAACGCAGTTTCTTGAAGTGTCACCCGGCAAACCAATTTATAAGACGTTGTCACGTCAAAATTCGAGTACCTAATTATGGAATAGGAGTACCGTCGTGGCAGCAACGCGGCAGTTGTGTACGACGTTTACGGAGCTTACACTACAAACCAACGCACCAACACTTGTTATTGTTCAGCTCGCTTTCGTTCTACTTTCGACTTAAAAAAAGAACCTCGCTGTTCGAAGACTGGTCGATAATGAAGAATTAAAGGCGATTGTGGAAGCTGATGATACAACATTTAAGGCTGAATTAGCAGCAGCTTTCGACGTTAGCGTCAAAAAATATTGGTCCATTTGCATCAAATTAGCAAGGTAGAAAAGCTTGACAAATGGGCGCGAACAGGAACTCAATGATCGCCAGCGCGAAGTACGCGTCGAGACGTGCCTTGCACTGCTCGACAGACACACAAATGAAGGAATTTTGAACTGCATTGTTACCTGCGCTGAAAAATGGATTCTGTTTTATAACCGCAACCGCTCAGATTGATTAGATCCTGGTTCACAACCTAAACAATTCTCTAAACGAAAACCTACCCGTAGAAAAGTGATGGGCACTGTTTGGTAGTCTAGCGCCGGTGTGATTCATCACAGCTTCTTACCAAACGGGGTGAGTATTACGGCAGATGTGTACTGTGGAGAACTGAACATAATGATGGAGAAATTGGCACATCTCCAACGAGCATTGGTCTCGTCTTCGCTGCTCCTGCACGACAACGCGCGATCTCATAGTGCACAGCAGAGGGTCTCAAAGTTGCAATAACTGGGGTTGGAAGCTCTCCGTCAACCGCCCTACCCACCAGAACTTGCGCATACAGACTACTAGATTTTCCAGAATTTTGATGACTTCTTGGTGGTAAAAAAATCAATACCCGAGAGACAGTACAAGTCTTTAAATAATTTGTCGCCGAAGTGCATCGATAATCTGCCACTGCGTTGGCAAAGATGCATTGATTGTATGGGTAATTTTTATTTGTATTACTTCGATTAGTACAAATAAAAATTACATGAAAAATATTAGTTTAAATTTTTCATACAAAACGGTAATTTCATATGTAGAACTATTATTATAAATGCGATTGTTTGTGAGGATGTATGTGTGTGTGTGTTTGTTACTCTTTCACGCAAAAACTACTGACCGGATTTAGATGGAATTTGGAAGAGAGGTAGATTAGTATAGTCTGGAATAACACAGGCCATTAAATCCAAAGCCGGTGGCAAAAGCGAGTACTACATAATAAAAAAGAAAGAGATCGAGTACATTTTCATTGAAATTAAACGTCATCTGCCTCGTTGTACGAGTGATCGCAAGTGAGACTGTTGGGCAAGGGGTTTCGGGTTCGATACCCAGGTCGGGAGAAGTATTACTGGGTTTAAAAAAAATCTCAATGGTAGCACGGAGTCTGGAAATGTGCTCGGTATATGGGACTCACCCCTATTACATGGGACTCATAACATAAATAGTGAAAAGTTTGTGTTACATAGTGCAGTGGCATTTAGTGCCGTAATGTATACCTTTGCCTACCCCTCCGGGGATAAAAGGCGTGATGTTATTTTATACGTTAATTAAACGTCATTTAATAAACCATTCAAAAATACTTCCTACCCACGTTTCACACCTCGTACTGTTGTGAAGTTCTGCTACTTTAGAACAAATGTGTTGCAATTTTGATTGCAATTAATTAGTGGATATTTTTAGTAAATGAAATACCTATAAGCAAAATATCTTCAATTCTGCAGATCTCAATCTGCTGTATTTGTCAATTGGAACTTATAATACGTGAGTGTAGACGGGAATAATAAATAGGAGCAGAAAAAGGTATAAAGAAACAAGTTTGCATGTTCATAAAACTTATTTAATCGCACGCCATTCGCACGTTACAGCCATCTGTTAACTGATTCTAACATTACATTATAATATAATAATCATAATCATTATAAACATTCATAAAAATACTTGTAAACACATTAAGCTGTGAATGTAAGAAAATAAAATTTGATATTCGCAATCTCATATTTATATTGCATCTTGTTAACAAATAGGACCAGTTCACGAGCGCCTTATTTGCAAAGCAAAAATAGATATGTTTCTCTCTTCTACTCCTACAATATAACTTGTGATATTTATACAGTTTACATACAAGAACGTTTACAATATAACGGCAGTGAGAAATAAACCACGATTCACTGGGCACTAAGCAAAGATCCACAACGAATACTATGTCATCTGAGATACTTGCTCGCTCTATTATGCGCTACGGTACGCTAACGAGTGACCTGGCAACGTCGGCAAAACAAACGATATATACACAATTTCAACTCTAAACATTGCACAATCATACGTCGAATCACTAAAACTAATACGCGAAAGCAACAATATCTAAAGTAAATTTACACGAAATACATACACAATAACATCACATATTGACGTTACAGTATCAAAAATATTTGTTTACACTTAACTTTATAAGCCTCTTGATACACGTGCAGTGAGTCTAGCGCAGTACGAGCAACATAAATGTGAACAAATAGATTTGACACGTAACTGATGCAGCTCGCCGCAGCTCGCCGGGCAGCTCGCAGCGAGCCACCGCCCGCCAGTCAAGGCCGGCACACACGTACCTATCATAACGCGATACAAACAATCCGACAAACAATTAGGCTCAATCACATTCATATGGCCTGCATTTTTACAATTTATGACTTAGCTAGCCTTTGGCGTTACTATAAGACACGGCAATGCGTCCCGGTCCTAACTACAGCTAGCGCAGGTTGTGTAAAGCGGGCACTCGATGACAATATTACGTATTTACAAGTTGAGCAGGTGTAGGGCTGCCAGTATGAGTATTACGTCGAGCTCTGCACCGTACAGTGTACGCTAGTGCGCTACCCACTCAGTGTCTGCTTTACAAAACCTGCCCTAGTAGCGGTCGAGGTCTCATTTGTGCTACAATTCGACAATTTACAGTAACTTACGATAATTTTATACGCGCTCATATACTTTGTATGTTTGGGCGCGTCGCGGCCGAAATGAAACCTCTACATCGCATCATCGCAACTCCGAGTGCACTACGATAAACAGACAATTTCTGTAGTCAATGAAGCCTTAACGTAAGTAGTCCTGCGCGGGCTGCCAGCTCAGTCGTTGGGGCCGAAGAACTTCGCCAGCAACTGCGACAGCGGCATTATCTGCTCCTCGCCCAGCGCTGGTTGTTGCTCCGCCTTCGACTGCTCGCGGAGCTCTGCGGGAACATACTCACATTATTATACAAGTCTCATAAACATGTCACGGTGATGCGAGACGCAGTTTAGTAAGGCGTCCAGTCTAGTATAAAATGTCCAGTACTGACCCTGCCAGTGCTGCAGCAGCCTGTTGTAATGGTTGGCGCGGTCGTGTCGCTTGAGTTGTGTGAAGACGTGCACGAGGCCGCGGTAGTCGTACTCCAGACCAGAGTAACGCTCGCCGAACAGCTTCAAGCCTGGAATATGTCAATATAAAATTGTTAAAATTTAAGGAAATAAGATCATAATAAATACAGATTCTCAAAATGTTCAAATTCTTTTTATAAACGAAATAATTATTTAGTAAGTCATCAAAGCAGTTCATTAATTACATTTGGAATGATCTATATTTTTACATCGTGGGACATTTTTGTCATCAATAATATTTGCATATTAACTTACAAAAATAAAGTTTAAACTTGAGATTTGGTACTCCAACTCCAATCAATTTGAAATAAAGCAAAAATATAAAAATGTGACACTGACTGATAGAAATGGAGCGCAGATATAGTTTCTCGGCGGCGCAGTGCATGTTCATGTGGTAGTTGTAGAGCGAGGCGAGGTGGCCGATGCTCAGCCCCACCTCGTAGTCCTCGGGTCCCAGCAACTCCTCTTTAATGGCTATAGCCTTCAAGTGCATTGTTTCCGCGTCCTGGAAACCATGAAAACAAATAATTAGTCTGCTCCAATCTACACCACCATATTGGATTCTAATCCAAGGTGGTGGATTTTAGAGACCTTCTAAGGCGTAATGGTTTTCACTTGTATTTAAGATTATTTTTATTGATTACTAGCTGTTTCACTGCTTGGTACTTATTGATCAAACTTTAAAAGCATTTAAGCTGTAGGCCTACCTACTAGTTAAAAAATATTTTTGTATATACAGAACTATTTTTTCATTTTAAGCTACAAGTATCCATACAAATAGTTTGTATTTGTATGGATACAACCATACAAACTATTTGTCTTTATAGTATATAAGATATAGAATATTTTGTACACAATTAGTTACCTGGAACTTGTGCATGCTCTGGTAGAGTCTGCCGAGGTTGCCATAATGCTTGGCAGTCTGCACGTTCTTCTCTCCGAAGGCCATCATGGACAGCTCCAGCGCCGCCTTGTGCAGCGCCTCCGACTCCTCCAACAAACTGGGCGCTGGAAATATGCAGTAAATCATTATTTTCTTGTCACTACCCTGACTCTTCCCATAGCTGTCTTTAGACCGTCGGGTCTAACGACAGCAGCAGACGATTCTGATAAATATAAACCTTTTACACTGCTATCTCCAACCTTATCTAATGTTATGTAGAGGAGGCCTATTGATGACGATACTGATAACTATACTAACCCGCCATATCCTGTCCAGCAGGGGTATCGAGTGCGATTTCCTCGAGGATGAGCGCCTTCACCCGCTTGGCGGACGCCAGTAGTAGATGGTCTGGGGGCACCAAGTTCTGAAACGAACAATATGTAAACCTCTGTCAGTATAACTTTCTTAAGTGGTATTAAATATTACATTATTAGGTTTTAGATATTCTAGCACTGTTACAAATGTAACAACAAACATTAAAACGTTATTTATTGTATCAACGATATTTTTTTAATGATTTGGTGTTGAAAACATAATGGATGATAACTGATCTTATTTCACTTCAACCACGAATAAATATACTACTACTGCTAATTAATCTATGTTTAGCATGTGAAATAAATGTTTATCTTTCTTCCCTTGTATTAGAGAAGTATAGTATGAGTGTAGTACCTCAATGATCCGTATGGCCCGCTCGGCATGGTCCCTGGCCTTGTAGAACCGTCCGGAGGAGTACTCGAGTACATAGAGCGCGTACGCGAGGTCCTCCTGCGCCGTCGCCACGTGCAGACTGCTGCGACCGAACACGCGGCGCAGCGTGCACAGCGCCTCCTGGAACGTTACGGATTGCTTTAGTAAAAACTAGTTCTAATAGTCTCTGAATAGGATACTTTGTAATCGTATTGACAAATGATTTCTTAAGTTAATGGTAGCAAAGGTAAATGCTAAGAGCAACGAGATTATAAAACGAAAAATTTCAGTAATATATCGAACATAGCATATCGGTAGCTAGATACCTCATTTGTCAGTCTTGATTTTTACTGATGTAAATAATAAATGTTCATTAAAAGTTGCCTCGGCCACTAAATAGCAAACCATTTGTGTATCACACAATTAATTGACTAACAAGACGTTGCTTCGCAGCAATTTACCGGATAACAAATATACACATACATAACCTAACGCCTGCCTCCCGTAGATAGGCAGAGACTATGGAACAAATACCCAAATAATTAAGAACCAAAAAAGAATGTTACTTACCTCATAAACGGCGACGGAGTGCACGATAGAATCAATGTTGAGCAGATAGAAGCCGAGGTCGAGCAGCGCGGCGGCGTACCGCGGGTGGTGCGTGCCGAAGGCGCGGCGGGCCAGCGCCACCGCCTGCCGCACCAGCAGCCCGGCCGACCCGAACCGACGCTTCACCACGCACGCCTTGCCGCACGCGCGGAGCACCTCGATCGTGATCCTGGGGGAGCGTTGTTATACACTTTGTTGTTATGTGATATCAAATGTATGTGTTCAAAAAATAATGTATTTATTTGAAAAGAGGTTTTGATTTTTTCTGATCCTTTTTCGAATATTTCGACTGTTTGTATCTTACATAAAATGACTATTGTATGCTCTATTCTTGACTAGATTTCTTGATGAAAATCATTATAAATATATTACTCATTATAATACTCTTACTGAGTATAGTTAGCTTCGTTTAGTCGTCCATTGATACCATCATCGCGTGCACTATTAAAGAAAAGCTCTACTAATTTCAAGTCACACCGGGACAATATAGTTCAATAATTGACTCAATAGTTCAATTAATAAAGATGTTTCAGAATAAAATAATATTAAAATGGTACATACTTAGGCGGTGTGTGTGGAGTGAGCAGTTTGAGCGCGCGCATGGCCCAGTCGTATGCGGCGGAGTAGTCGCAGCGCACGAAGGCGAGCGCGGAGAACTCCTTGCACACGCGCGCCAGCAGCGACGTGGCGCCCCACGCGCCCGCGCCGCACCGCCCGCAGCACCCGCGGACCCACCACACCGAGTCGCATCTGTGCGGACAGTGTGGCATCACTGATCGAATTTATAACAACAAAAAGCATTTACTTGACTAAACGACTCTCAAACACATAAGTACAGAGTCTTTGTTCTATAGATATCAGGAAACTTATTATAATGCTGTGATTTTTTAATTTGTTCAAGATCTAAAATCAAATTGAACGCAATTTCTACCAGAATATTAGTTTACTGACACACAACACATCAAAAATATGTCAAAAATGTGTATACCTTATCAGTACTTATTCATTTAAGACTGAAACATAGTCTTAGTGAAAAAACAACCTTAAATCTATATGCATAAAGCCTACACAAAGATATCTTTATAGTTTAAAATGCCAGCATCAAGTTGATCAAGTCCCGGTTCCAGCCTCCCAGTCATCGTGTCTTGGACCAGGGTTGCTGAGCCGGATACATGTTTTAGGCAGACACATCACACATGCTGTAAACACGTATCCCAGCGCAGCACCCACAGCCCTCCATTCCACCGAACGTCTCATATCTTCTTGTTCATAAATTATTATTATTTAGTTGACTACTTAGTCTTTGCAAAGCTAGTATTTTCATAACTATCAATAAAGACCATACCTGAAGGCACATCTGAGGCGTGGAAAAAGGTTAAATGTTAGTTTAGTCATATTCAACTAAATGTATGCAAATATGTCCAAGGTTTTAATAAATTAATTATATTAATATTTTGCAACCTGCCCTCGGTGGAAATAAAGTTTTATTAATAGTAGCATAAGTAGTTTTCGTCTACAATGTCAGTGAAGAAAATAATGAGAGATGTTTTTTCATTTCAGTCCATAACTGTGATATAAATACATTTTCGGATCTATATGAAATAAATACAAATACAGACAAAGGTGCTTACTTGTGTTCTGGATCATTAGGATCAATGCGTTCATCCTCAGCGGCTGCGAATGGTTCAGGCATCTCGGCGTGTACGTCATCGGGCATGCCCAGCAGGTCCAGCGCCAGGGCGTACGTCTCCGCCGCTGCAGGGAAGCAGCAGTACGCCGACTGTGTGTTTAATAACCTGGAAACAAAGACAGATATTTGGTTATTTGATTAAGATTTTGTAGTCTATTTCTCCATTTTTATGTCGAAAGTCTTTCATATTTTATTAAGCGTTTAGGGCTCTCTACTACTCTTCGACCTCTATGTTTAGTTCACATTACCCAAAGAGGTTTCAAGCTCCATATGTCAGGTACAGTAATCTTGAGATTTTCGGCTTGTTTTAAGAATGCTTAATAATTATAATGTGTTAAGTTCAAGGACATATCCTTATACTTGACGTATATGTATAGAGGCTCCTGCGCATAAACACAACATAACCTTTTCATATTCATTGTTATTAGGTCTAAATCCTTTACAACATGAGTTAATGGTTTAGCAGCAACTTAACATTACAAAAATATATTTTTCGTTTTCAAAAAATACAAAAGAACTCTGAGCAATTGGGTACTTTCCTTAATCAAAAATAAATTATTTCGACTGTTCATTACAATACAATATTAAAAAACAATCACACTTCCATTAATTGATTTTATGACCAACTTAATTTAAGTATTTTTTCAGCAAATTTAAAAAAATAAGTACGCTGTTTGATGCTAAAAAAACGTGACGTCACAATACACAATCTCGTACAAAATTCATATGCAAACTGTATTTTTTGACAGTTCTTGAAAAGTATTGAATTTGACTAACTAGTCAAATTCAATGCATGCCAACTGGCAAGTACCGAATTTATATAACAAAATCACGGCATAAGTACACAAACACGTTACCCTATTATATTACGCAAATACCGTTATAAATTAATAGTAATTATATTGTGTGCATCGTTTATGCAAATGTATGTACAATGTATGGTTCATTACCATAGAGCAGTGCTATTTTAACCTTCGTGCTGTATTATGGTAGGCTAGGAAGTAACATGTTTGTGTTTGAGCGATTTAATTATTATTTATTGTTATGTAAGTTCAAACTATTAACCTTGCTTTGATTGGATTGGAGTACTAGTATCATGGTTTGAAGTCTGACGCCTAAATACTGAAAGAGTACAATTTTAAGTAGTGCTTAAATATTGTGCCATCTCTGTCATTTTACAAAGAATACTGTAGTCGACAACTAGCCAATTCAATACTTTTATCGAAACGTCAAAAACGATACTCTTCTATGAATTTTGTACGAAATACCAGCTTATAATGTCACCATATTTTCGCATCAAATAGCACACTTATATCTAAAAAATTGCTAGAATAAATCTATAATTATTATATCGTCAAATCAATGAAAATTTAACTATTTTTCAATATTTAATTGGAGTGAAAAATCTAAATAATTTATTTTTGACCCAGGAAATTATCCAATTTGTAGTGACAGAACTATATTTTAGCGCGACTCAATTTAGCATATGTGTATTTCAGCATGAGCCATGTATTTTTTTTATGAGACAAGCTCGCCACATCCTTTTACCGTTGCAACTTGTGTAAGCCAGGATCTAAAGTAGATCATGGCTCATGTATTAGTATTGTAGAGTATTATCAGTATTTTGAGATTGGAGTTTTAGTTAGTTTTTGTATATCTCAAATTAATTTTTTTTATAGAATAAGAGGCAATTGAACAGACGGATCACCTGATGGTAAGCGATCAGCGCCACCTATGTACACCCGCAAAACCAGAGGAGTCGCAGGTGCGTTACCGGCCTTTTAAAAAGGAATACGTTATTTTCTTGGAAGGTTTGAAGGACATAGACGTGTTGACATCTAGATTTGGGTCTATACATCCATTTTCTTAATTCCGTTATCTTGTTCTTTAAAACAAAGCTGAATATTCTCACCTATGGCAGCATTCTAATGTGAGTCTCTTGTAGTGTGTGGTTTGCGGCATCTCCCGGCAGAGGTCGCGGCAACGCAATAGCACGCGTTGTGCGTCTGCGTACCAACCGGCCTCGTTCAGAAATCCACCTAGAAAAAGATTAAATAAGTTAAGTAAACTTAATGCATTATAATTACAAAGGGACAAAGGTAGCAGATTTTCTTTATGTTAGTAACTTATTATTATTGCTTCTATATAGAATTATGTCGATGAAAAGACATCATTATTTACCATTTATATTAAAGTTTTATGTTTGCAGTGCGTTTATGGTGTTTCGTCTATTATTAAGAAGGTATCACCATTTTGTTAAACATTAGTGTTTTACGCCAACCACCACTAGATGGCATAACTGAACTAATTAATTAATTAAATTAGCAACAGTCGGAACTAGACTTGTTTAATAAAACGAAATACCTGGATTAGCATTATGTCAGAGTATTTTCCAGTAATTCAAATGTGAATGATGTAACTATGTAAGCTGTAGTGGGCGTATAATGTTCGTGTAATTTTTAATGTGCCCGCTTCCTTGTGCCGGGGTACCAGCTGTGGGTAGCACTGGGTGTCGGATGTGTTGTTAAAATTGATACATGACAGGATTCCTGGGTATCTATCTATGTCTGGCTGGATATGCACTGGAATTTTCTAGATCAGGATTACTGAATTACATACTAATAGCCTGTTTTAGATCTTAAAGTCTTAATAGAGCAGAACAGAAAACTTTAGTGCTATCTATGCATCAGACGCCTTTTTACGAAGTACCTTATTGTTAAAATTACACATTTATTTAGGTATTCGTTAGATTTCTCTTCTAATTCCCTTCATTTACTGTATCTCTAACGCTGGGGCCACACTAACGTTGAACGTAAACGTCCATTATCGCGATAATTAATGGTATTTCCCGTTAGTGTGGCCCCGGCTTTAGAGAAACAGAAATAATTCAATTGATAATAATGAATACTTATGCCAATAAAAAGCAGGAATAAATAAGGTATAATCAGAATCAAGCTAATACTTTGTCATGGCAGTAAAAATCAGGTATAATTAAAGTATAGTCATCAGTATATCCAGGTTACTGTTCTCTACTCACCAAGTCTTAGCCCGAGATGTATGAGTGAGGCTCGGGTGTGGCACCGGCAGTCGCACTTAGCCAGGTAGCTGGTCGCCAGTTCGGTGGACAACTTGGATCCGTGCTCTATCACCGCCTGTGGACAACGTCATATTTTATATTAACCCACGGTACGGAACGTAGATATACGCGATACACAATGAATGATACACAATTCTATTGCCTCATATAAGAGATAAGAGGTTAAATTAGTTGCTTCTAATAGTACCACTTATGTGCAAGTTGCAAATTAAAGATAGCTTATGCCTGCCAAGCGTTTATCAGAATTCCAAGTCTTGATCAGATTCTCTATCAAACGTCATGTAGATTCAGACCAGTTTTATCGGTTCTATTTAAGTTCCCGATTTCATCTTTTTAATTTAGTGGCCAGAGGATAATCAATTCATGTGAAACCCGTCACAATGCCATAGTAAAATAGGCGCCATTAAGTAGGCCAATATCAGGGGTACTCGTAGAATCCATAACAATATGGATGACATAACGACTGAATTGATGGTACCCGCGCACTCTATTTAGTTGACAATCGCTACAACTTCTAGGGCTGTCATATACAGTACAAGACATAATAGGTACCTAATACATATTTTATAAAATAATTTTAAGTACTGGCGGATTGACTCCCTTTATAGAATATACCGTTTTCATTTAGTCACCCGTAGATACGAAAAGTTAGTCTTCTGGCTGATAATGAGATCTCAATATTTAAAACCTAAGATGCCTGAGTTTTAGTGTCTAAATTCTAAACTAAAACGTAATTGCCGGAAGGGATCCAAGACCTCATAGGATGAAGTCACCTGTCTTTATAGTTCGGGAAATATCAGGGGTGATAATTATATTGTTTACTGTCAGGGATCACCGATGACAATGTGGAAAACCCCAGATACAAGGATAATAACAGCAGATACAGTGATTCATTACAACTGACACGGTGAGATTACACTGATTAATAGATTGGCGTGGTGGCATCGAAGACAGTGGAGTATGAGTACAAGGTCTCGTCTCATTATTGAAATTCAATGACTATCAGGAATCACTATTATAGCTTTTTTTTAGTCATAGGATATGACAGAATATGAACCAAAAATGTGGAGACATTTATTGATCCAAATGACTGGAAAATTTGGTGTAACTTGGGTACAAGACGCCAAGGAATGCATTGCTAGAGATCTGGCAATGTTATTTTGATTCTTCGACAGCCATGAAAGGGGTGAACAACCAAAATCGATTAAAAAACTTATTAGGTACTCATACTAGTATACCTTTATTTATAGAGCAATATTATGTAACAAGTAGCAATTAATAGTGATGCGTGGTAGCCCTGGCGCTCGTTGAAGCGTGCATCTCCGTGTGATGACTGTGATCTGATGAGTATGACATTGTGACGATACCGACGTAATCACAACACTGTTTACTACTCACTGCGATACGTGACTAGTCACAGATTTATCTAGAGACACTGCCATGTCATTGACTACGGATGTATTTTAGGAGTATCGGTTTTAGAGTGCAATCAGTCATGTGATGTGAATGAAGATTGATCTGTCATTGAATTGTAAAATAATGGTAGAACCGGTAGACTGTCAATCTAAATATACTATCCACCTTTTTTAAGGGGGGAAAAACGTCGAATGACTACTCCCGCCTGTGTGAGGCGGGAGGGAGTGTCAGACTCTTACTGACTAAAAACCACCCCGTTCCTTCTCCTGCACGTCGAGCCGGAGCCCCGGTTACCCGTTAGGTTCTCCATGACACTATACTATAATAGTGTCCTAATCTAGTAGCACAATGTAAACTTACTTGGAAACATTGTAGGAGCCTGAGCTGTGAGCCGGCGAACCGCATCAGACGCTCGAATGTGTCCAGCTCCGAGAGCTCAGCGCCCAGGATGCACAGCCTCTTCTCCTGTAGCATCTGCAATAATAAAAAACAAATTTTAGTATGACAAAGGAATTTAAAATGGAACAAGAATAGAATAGATAATGTATTTGAATACAGTTTTGCCTTCCGAAGACACAACGAATAGAGAATCTAACTACTGTGTTAAGTTTTATCATTGAATACTTATTTCTGTGGATTATATTTTTCCTGATATTTCTACGGACTCGGACCTATCTGTGTGGCATTTACAAACTCCAAAAGAGTGTAGAAATGCTATAAAAATCATAATTCAAATGAGAGAACAATGTACAAATCACTACTGGACAATGTAAAAGGTTCAGTGACATTAACAACCCAGTATAAATCCTACAAATGAGCTCAGAAGTGTACAATATTGTATATTTTGTAACACCAACTATGTAAACAGATATACAATGTTTTGAAACAAAATACATAATAACAACAAAGTGTGAATCCCGTTGCCGACAGGCTCGCTCTATAACGCGCAATAAAACCAATGTCTTATGTCAACGAACGCGTTTCTCAAGACAAACATTGTAAAAACTGCTATGTTGTAGTTATACGCTCATTAGGCGTGGCTTTGGTAAAAGCGGAGAGCGGGTTAAAGTAATAGAAGGTTCAAGTTTTAGGATATTAGTAGACGTTATATCAAGTTTACATTTTCTCAATTTTCTTAAAGTTGAAACTGACAGATGTAAAATTAGAAAACGTATATTTGTTAAAATATTGCAATGAATAGAAAAGAACGCAAACTAGTTTGTATTCTCGCCACTGGTTGTGCTGTTTTTATTTGTATCGAGCTATTTTTAATAAAATGAATCTATGGTCATGTACGTCATTGAATAATACTGTTAGATTGGAACTGGTCTCAGATATAAAAAACTTATTTGTAAAATATAACACAGTTTTACTCTAGCACCACATTTTCCTTCAATATTGAACTGAATGAAGAAATAGCCTAAACACGTCTTACATAATATTGCGCCGATTCCAATTTGAATAGTAACCAAACCATTTGTACTCCACCAAAAGTAACTTCGCAACCTGTTACCCGCTATCCTCTATTAACTTATCCCACACAAAATATGACAATGTCGTGGATAACCGGACATTACTTCGCTACAATGTACCATACATTAAGTATGGTTCACGCACTACATTGTGTGGTTTTTTATTCGAACACACGTCTTAACGGATACCGCCTCACCTGCACTAGGTGCCCACTTAACAGGCTTCCCTTTTTTCTTTTATACTACAAACTACATAGTTGTATTCAATTCCGTTATTGCAGAACATGTCTAAAGAGCCTTTTAATGCCATACCTAATGAATGGGTAAATGGCAATTGTAAACTCCGCTTGTTTGTTCATCTTTAATCACTTTGTTTCTTGGTTAGTTTGTAGTTCATTTTAACACTTGGGTTACCTGAACAACATACTCAACAACCTGCTTTTATTTGGTCTGTTTTGTCACTGTTTTGGTATATTTCGCTTGTTTCGATATTCTTGTCCTTCCTCTACTAAGTTTAATATTATTTCTGTTTTGAATTGTTATTGTTAAAGTATTTGTGTTTTTTATGTTCTATGTGCTATTCGTGTTAGTCTAGAATTGTCAAAGAGAAGCTTTTTCTTTCTTTTCTACAAAATTATAGTAATGTAGTGAATTCTATCAAACCTCTAATAATCTCAACTTCAATAAAGACAAAGTACAAGATTCCTTATTCCTACAAAGTTCGTCCCCACTTTGTAATTTATCGGCACAATCAGGGCGTTGTAGGTCAACTAAAATGTATGGCAGATTATCCAGTTATCCGGGCAAAACTATGTGATTTCCTTTTCTCATACAAAGTAAATTTAACGCTTTCTTGGAACATCACATGTAGAACAAAGTAAGTTAAAAGCTTTAGATTATGTTGCCGTGTAGTTGTATGACCTTACCTTCGTTTGTTTTGTAACTTGTAAGACATTGTCCGCTTGTCTATTACGTACGTGGTAACTTAGTCAGATCGCTAGTTTCGAATGTTTTAGAGATAAACGTGAGATGTGATGATAATCAGGACTTCAGTAGAGATTTTTGATCATGTTCCATTTCCATTGACTTATTTATTAGTCTATAAATAGACGCCGGACTAAAGGCAGAAATGAACCTTGTGTTTTTTGGAGTGTAGATGCGGTCAAAAGATATTTTTTTGAAATCCCCAGGTCAATGGGGAAAATGGAAAGTTGGCACCAGGCACATATGAAATCGTGTGCTAAGTTAGTGAGTAATATATTTAAAAACAATTGGTCTAAATATGTAAAATATGGTTCAATCATTGTATGCACGCGCAGTCATACATTTTCGCATACAATAGGTATAGTACCTATGTATTTGTAATCTGTCACGTTCCTTTACCAAACGGGGTAAGCAGATATCAAATAGCTGGACGAAGAGTCAACAGCATGACTGAATTTAATTCGAAATCAATGTGACGTCACACATAACATTAATCCTTACTAATATTATAAATCGGAAAGTGAGTTTGTTTGTTTGTTTGTTTGTTCCACTATCACGCCGTAACTACTGAACCGATTGCTTTGAATTTTGCAGACGTGAAGTTACAAGTCTGGATTAAATAATAGGGTACTTTTTATCCCGGAAAATTTTGATATTCTCGAGGGAAAACGAAATTATTGGTATAGATGGCGCTGTGTGTATTGGTCTATGTCACATAGGCTACATTTTATCCTTTTGTGACGCGAGCGAAGCCGCGAGTAAAAGCTAGTATAAAATATTCTGTAAACAACAACACATTAACATAAAAAATGTATGCACATACATAAGAATGAAATATTAAAATTCATATTTTGAATTAAAATATAAGTAATAACGTCAATGGAAAGATGTGCTCATTGTTGACTGTACAATCAACCTCAGTTGAATAGCAGGCTTGTTGACTTCAGTCTTTATGTTTACAGGTGTAAGAGCGATTTTCGCACAGAACATTATTGCTGTTACCCATACAACGGCATTGACTGCTGTGACTTTGGTTCAAAGACGAATGTAAAAGAAAACGCAAATGAATACACGTCAATATGAAACCCTTATTATTTCCTTTAGTTTCGATGACGATCATGACGGCGATAACTCGATAAATATTACTTGAAGCGCACACAAATCAACATTTGATGCGGCTCAAAATAAACTTCAAAAAACAAGTGAATATGATTTCATGTTTGGCATTAAAATACTAAAATCATTACATATTATAAAACGAAGTAGCGACTTCGGTATAGACAGACGGCGGATAGCGATCCGCCGTCTGTCTATCCCTATGTATACCTAGACCTTTAAAACTACGCAACGGATTTTGATGCGGTTTTCTTTAATAGATAGAGTGATTCTTAAGGAAGGTTTATATTTATAATACATGCATATTGCACCCGTGCGAAGCCGGGGCGGGTCGCTAGTATTTTATATAAGCTTCTTGATCTTCACCAACATCAACACCAGTTATCTAGCAGAAGACGTGAAAAGCAAAGATAATTTTCATACATGTTGCAAATTGATTGAATAAATATTCATAGCTAACAATTACGACAGAACAATGTCCATCAGGTCATTGAATTCACAATAAATAAATGCCAAATAATTGATGAGGTTAGAAAATAATTCGGTTTCGTTAAATAGAGAATAGTTAATTAGACTAATTAGGAGTATTACTCATCGATTAACGCATCGATGAGAGCTCGACTTTGACCTGGACGAGTAACATTTGCTATGTTTACAAACAATAGTCGAAAAATTTATTTCGTAATTGTAATTTTAGGTTTTAAGTTAAACAATAGTGATTTTGAACTATAAGTTCTTTTTTTTGTTTTAGTTCAATGTTATGAGCGATCTAAATCGAAATGTTCTATTTTCAAAATTAAGTGAATTTTAAATCGAATATAATAAGGTCACCACTCAACTCTTTGAGTACCGTCATTATAGACACAATTAAAGAACAGGTTGCGGTCACCGGTGACCGCTCGGTGTATGACAGTTTAAAGTGGCCTTTTTTTTAAGGGGGGAAAATCATCGAATGTCTGCTCCCGCCTGCGTGAGGCGGAAGGGAGTGTCAGACTCTTACTGACTAAAAACCACCCCGTTCCTTATCCTGCACGTCGAGCCGGAGCCCCGGTTACTCGTTAGGTTCTCCCCTTTATGCATGGTTATTAAATAGTATAATTTTAGTGGCTCTTTACTATACCCTAGTTGCCATGGAAACAGCAATATTACAATAATATATATAATATAATACAATCTGCAATCAGCAGAATCTAGAATGCATAGCGCACGAGTAACTCCTTAGCACTTTGATAAGCTAATTGTACTGACATTCCGCTAAGTTTGTATTGAACTACAATATTAAACAGATAGCGAATTTTATGCTAGTTGTTTAAGTTCAACAGTGGACTAATAGTACAATGCATTCTAAAACTACTTTTCCACAACTATCATTTATGTAAGTCTTAAAAAACATTCAAAATGCTTAACCTCATTAAGTATTTATAAGAATTTTATGGACAATGATGCAACAGCACTTAGGAATGGAATCTCTTCCGGAAAGTTAACAAACACAAGAAGGGCCATGATCGTGGCACACATTATAATTTCGACCCGAATACCCAACCATGACCATGACACGGCTACCATTGGTCAGTCGGTCACTAATCCATTACAACACACACGCGTAGAAATAGGAACGACTCTGACATAACCGGTCATTTGATTGTTTTCATATAAAACGCATCGATGTTTGTTCCACTTAGAAAATGTGTTACTATGTCACCGATAGTACGCTAACGTACCAAGCACCTAGTAAACAATATTAGATTACTCGCTTCTCGATTTATTGATGTTGGCACTACTGAATTGACATCTTGAAATGCATATCGATGCCCTAATTGTCAGTTGGTAACACTCACTTGTATGACCACAGATATAAATAGACTAGATAAAGTAATTATTTAAAAGCCATTCGAATTTTAA